TGAATTTTATTTTATTTTTTAATTTTTATATTGTGAAATTAGGATTTTTTATATTTTAAAAAAAATTAACATAAGACATTGCAATATATTAGAATTTAATACTAAAAATATTTCTTTGGGAGTGAATATTTGAAAACAATTAAAAAATTAAAAGATTTGTTTTGTATCTATAAAGATATATTTTTCCTTCTCCTAGTTGATGTTTGTAAATTTCTAAGATATTTTAAATGAATAAAAGTGCATGAAAGACAAACTTTCACTCAAATACCGATATAAAATACAGGGACATATTTAATTATAAAAGAGTAGGACAGCTGCCCTCTATTTTTTTAATCATTTATAAATAAAATATTTTAAATAAAAAATTATAAATAATTTGAAATGTTGTTTAGAATATTTTTAGTTTTGTGCAACACTACATAACTTTCTTCGTAAAAAATATCGTTCCGATGAATTTTCAATTGGAGCGGTGGCCGAACCTTCATCTTCAACATTATCGGCTAATGAAAATCATAATTTTGAGCCTATTATTATATTTTTCCTTCTCCTAGTTGATGTTTGTAAATTTCTAAGATATTTTAAATGAATAAAAGTGCATGAAAGACAAACTTTCACTCAAATACCGATATAAAATACAGGGACATATGTATTTAAAAATGATTATTTATATATATACATGATAAAAATTTATGAAATATATCTATCTAAAAAAAATAATAATAATACAACCAATTTTATCTATTTTAAATAAGGTAACTAAAATTTAAAAGAAATATTATTTTTAATAATAATATTGAGAATATTGTTATCTAAAAATATTAGGATATTACAATTATTATTAAATAAGACAAAAATAATTTAATATACATATATTTTAAAATAAAAAATGTGTATTTTTTTCTTCTTATAATAAAAAAAAGCAAAGGGAGTATGTTTTTGTATATTTGCTTTTAACTTTGTTTACAAACTCATTTTGTGTTTTAAAAATATAAGTTTTACAAAAGTGTTTTAATAAATTTTTTCTTATTTTTTTTTTTTGAGGGGAAATTTTTTCTTATTTAACACTAGTATTTCAACTAAAAAAGTTTTGTATTGTTTGATGCAACAAATGAAACAATTTTTTGAATAAAAAAAAACAGTGAGAATCATTTGAAACATAATTCAACTCCCTTACAAAAGTGTAACAAAAGAGATCGAAAGTCATCATTTTACAACAAGTGTCCCGAAAAACCAAAATAATGACCACCGAGGTAAAGTTAAGGGAATTTAAAATAGCTTTCCATATTAAATATTTTATTCTCTCTATTCATTAATGTCCTAAAAGTCTCGACATTTTATCGTAAGATGTCTATTTTAGTACATTTATTTTTATATGGAACGCGATAAAATAATGTTTTAAATGTGCAACTAATGTAATAAATTAATCTATCTTAATTTATATTTATTACTAAAAGGAAAGTCTAACACACTTGTTTTATTTTTACTTTGTTTTTTTTACACCATTGTTTTACCTTGAATAATTTTTATTACCGTCGTTATATTTTTTTTAAATGACATAAATTTATAATTATAATTAAATTATACTCCGTATTAATTTCTTTCATGATTTATTCAACCAAATAATTAACTTATTATTTTATTATTAAAAAAAGCATCGAAAAGGTCCTAACTTCTAGGTCTTCGAACCTTTCTCATCGGAAAAAATTTCTCTATTTTTTGGTGTAAGAACTGAAAAGTTCCGATCCTGCACGGTTGCTTCGCTACACTCACTCTTCAGAGAAAATCCAAAGCGCGAAAATGCAATCTCTGTCCCTCACGCTCAGCAAGAGGCTCTCCAATTCCAAACCTCTCTTCAGAATCTCATCGAATCTCGTCGCTCACGCGTCTTCCGCCACCGCCTCTTCCCCCTCGCCGCCGCCGCCACCTTCTCCGCCGATCCCCGCTCTCAACAACCTCCTCGCCGCTCCGTGGTCCGCAACTCAGTCCCGCGGAATCACTCTCTCCGGATCTGATGTAAGTTCCTCCATTTTCTCGCGCCATTACTTCTTACGCTGCGATCTTCTCTCAGAAACTATTATCCGTCGTCGTTTTGTCGTCATTAGTGCTTTTTTAGGGTTCGTAACTGTTCTCATTTGTGTTGCAGGTTAGAGTCGGGAATCTCGTTGGAAACCGAGGTTTTATAAGTTATTGCGGTTTGTTTTTTGTGATTCGGTTTATTTGTGTTTTTAGTTTCTAACGTGCTCGCTTTGCTTTCCTGTTGTGGTGCACGTGGATGTTTTGCTTCTAGGACGCGCTCACGAGGTAATTTCGAAAATGCGAAATGCTTTTGGAATTTGGTTGTGAAGAAATGTTCATTGAATATAGTTGTCTAACTTCTCGTTTGGTTGTGTAACTTATGTTAGGTTCTTAAACTGTATCGCTCTTGTGAAGGAACAGGAAAAGCCGCTCTTGAGGTTTATTCTAAGATTTTTCTCTATTTAGTTTTTATTTATTTATTCTATGTTCTTATATACCTGCTTGAATACTGACCTCAACAGACATTTTGTTCTATTTTGGTACTGTTGCATGTTATGTATGTTTCTGGTTTTCTTTGTGATTGAAATTTGTCTGTGATTCATTGTTGTGTAGTTGTGTTGTTTGCACATATGTATATATCCCACCTGCCTTAAATAAGGAAAAGAGAATTAGAATAATGAATTATTATATGTTACATGATGTTTTAAGTGACGGGGAGGGGCTCTTTTTGGCCGTTATGGGTAGAGAAAATGTTCTGGGGAATTTTTTGCAACTTCATTAAGATGTAACTTGACATATTGAGCAACCCAGTGTCTCCAGTCTCCACAATATGGCATGCTTGATATTGTACTACTCCTCTTCCTCCTCTTGTAGGGAAAATTTTCTTAAAACAATTTTTTTCTTCTTCGGGTTCACTTGCCATTTATGAGAAATATGGTAGAGTGAGTACTTGGAGACTGACAGGTTATTAGTTGTTATAAAATATTTGCATAACCAGAGGGACTTTTTTTTTGGTTTGTTTACATATTTACTGGCTCAACAATGTTGGAGAGAAGTATTTATGTAACACATGCTTGGATTACATGAACAATGGAAAATAATTTTCCTATACAAGCTGCTGCATTGAGAATTTAATTCAAATACTAACTAGTGATTTTTCATTGCATTTACCATAGTTATTCAGTACCTCAAAGGGTCATATTGTATATTTTGATTAAGTAATATTCCATTTTAATGACGTGTGCTAAGTATTGGAAGGTGACTGCAATGAATTCTATATTTGGTCCTGGTAATGCTTAAAACTGAAGACCAGTTCATTTGTATGATCAATGACTCCCAGGTTCCGCCTCGCACTGTATCTGGTTATGCCACAGTTGCTACTACAGAGGATGACATCAAAAGGTTAGTTGGTGTGATATGAATAAAGCATTTCATGGTAAAATTGATGACTCTTTCAATCTCGTTAAGCATCATCCACTATTGCAATGATGAGCTTGTTTATTGTATTGAGTCTCTTGAGTTTAGGTGCCATGTATAGCTAGAATTTTTGAAGTCTGATTGTACATCTAATCATTACTGTCATTTATGTTAAAGAAAAAATATATTATTTGATAGGAAGGGGAAAATACAAAAGAGTATAAGGTATCCTCTAAAGAAACCTAAAATCTATAGGAACTTTGTATTTCAATAGCTCAATTACAATCAGACCAACACAGCGATCACCAATGAAACAACAAAAATGACTGAAAATGACAATGAACTGGTGTAGACAACTCCTTACAAGATGGATAGGAAAATTAAGGAGAAAAACAGTGACACTACCACCGAGAGAGAGAACCTTCTCTGCTCAGCCCAAACCTCTCCAATACCAAGATGCTCCCCTCCCTCCTTTGGGTACTCCTCCCCCAAATACTTATGATTCCCACACGTCACTTCTCCAGTTTTCTCTTGCCACCTGGCAATTCTGTTACCCACCCTTAACCTTATTTGGGCATGGCCCATTCCCCTATATGTCCCTTTACCTCTCCTTCGATAAACATTTGCTATGTGTCTAGCAGAAAACAAAGTAAAAATTCCTAGGTAACCACAATACAAGCATGACCCTAGGAGAAAATACAATTGAAGGGCGATAAATGCCCCCAAAACTCTCCTAGGAAACTCCCTCCACAAAATACCTGCAATTAAAGGGATAAACTAATCCTAAAAAATCCAAATAATACCACCTTTTCTTTCAACAAAGAAGATAACTTCAAAGCTTGAGAAAGCCTAATTAACCCGTCTGATTCCTTTACAGTACCTGCTCTCCGCGATGTACTGTTTTTAATTTCCTTTGCTGCTAAAATTGGTCATAGTTTCAATCTTGTTAAAGCATAATTATTGTATTGATTCTCTTGACATTGTTTATGTGCTGTGTACAGATAGAATTTTGAAATTTTGATTGTACATTTAATCACCCCTTTCATTTATTTTATTAAAATGAAATATAATTAAATAAGAAGGCAAAATAAAAAGCTAAAAATCCTAGGAAACCACTATGCAAACACAACCCTAGGAGAAAACAAAAAATGGAACTGCAAATGTCCCAAAGGCCAAACTCTCCTAGGCAATTCCCTCCAAGAACACCTGCAACAAAATGGATAAATTAATACTAAAATAAACTCAAAATATTACTCGCTTCGCTTTCAACAAAGATAACTTAAAAGCTTGAGAAAACCCAATTAAACCTGCTGAGCCATTTATGCTTTCAGTATTTTACTGCTGTTGCTAACCTTTATATTTCATTGCTACCTTCTTCCACTTGTATAATAGGTATTTGGCCAAAAGATCACCTTTGCTTCCTTTATACCCAACAGATTAACTTACTATATCCTAATTGGATCAGAAAGTGATTGTGGATCAGCAAATCACTTGCTTTGCGTTCTAATAGAAATAACTTCCTCATCCAATCTGATGCCCTTCACTTTGGCCAAAAGGTTTCATGTGTTCAACATTTAAGCAAGGCAGAATTGCCTTATTCAAAACCAGCATTAATAGAATGGCCTTCTAGAAGATTAATATTGTCCTCTATGGGGTATTGACTGCTTAAACTTTGTTGTCAAAAAAGGTTCTTCACTTCCACTAAAAGTTACTACTTTACTAGTTACCATCAAAATCAAGATAATCTTCCTGAACGTTTTAATAAAAATTCCAGAAGAGTTTCATCTCTTTGATTATACTGGTGATCATCTTTGACCCATAGTTCATTCATAAGCAGACCTCCATCATCTTTGTAAAGAGGAAGCAAATTATCTCCATCACGTAAGAAACCCACTCAACAACTAATGCCTGTAAAGTAGAATCTTCTCCAACCTCTTCAGTAAAGTATAAATGTTGAATTACGAAGGCACTGCTAACATTATTTAATTGCTCTCAACCTAACCCATCTTTGAGTGTGGAAAAAACTCTAGACATGCCTGCAACTGCAGAAAATGCTTCTGCCTTGATCTCTTTGGGAATTATAATGTTTTTCAGCATTGTTCACGACTCCATCTAACCAGACATTATTGGAATTACCATCATAAATAATTTCTCTGTACAGTGATGCACATCTCCATAGTGGAACCTGGCTACTGAATCTGTGAAGCCTCACCTGACATGTTCGATTCCTTCCTTTATTAAATAGGCTTGTAACTGAAATTATTACTTGTTGCAAATTGGTTCTAGTTCTGTGGAGTGATTGGTTCTATGGAGTGATTGGGGTGCCTTTTATGGGTTCCACTGTGTTTTTGATCAATTGAAACTTACACTGTAGGACTGTTTTTTCTATACGATACAGAAGGGAAATGAAAGGGAAATTTTACTTTATGTACCAAAACAATATTATTAAAGAGGTTTAACATCTACAGCTTTATTAAATTTCTCACTCTCTTATTATAGTGTTACTTTTTTGTGTATGTTGGGGGATTGGATTGGCAAGGAATTGATTACTGTGGCCAATGCTGCTTTAGATTCTGGCGGTTATATTGTTGATGAATGAAATATATTCTTTGATTTTAGGTATTGCCACGAACAATATTTAGTAGCTTAATGATACAAATAGTTATATTACCTTCCTTTTCAGGGCCAAGGCTTAGTATGCTTTAAGCTGGAAGTTGAGCTGATAGCTATGTAATAAAAATATCCTATATAAGTTAATTGAGATTTGGATCAGACTGTCTTTTCTACCCCCATTTATTGATAATAAGCCTGTTTCACTTTTTCATTGCTGTTTTTTATTTACATCGATGGCCTTTTAGTTTCAATGCATTGGGAGTATACAAATTTATACTCTTATAGATATGCTCTAATTGTTGTGCTTATTCATTCCTAATTGTTGCTTTAGTTGATGCAAGGTTAAAAGGAGCATTAGATTGGTCTTGATGCTTGAATCATTGAAAAATAATGAATAAAAAATATTAAGATACTTAATACTTCCATGAGTTTCCCTTTTTTTTATTTTTATTTTTTATTTTTTAATGAAAACTGGTATTTTGTAGATATGGTTAGAAGAATTCTCATTTCTTAATATTGATTGGTATGTATAGGAAGGAACGAAGCAGTGCATTGGGGAATGAAACGAAGACAAAGAGAGAGCAGCTCCTTAAAGTTACTGCAGTTGCCCCTCTTCTTTTAATATACCCGAACGCCTATTCATTGCTCTTGGCAAATTTCTTTTTGTTCTGGCATACAAGTGCGGGGATCGAAGAGATTTTGGCAGATTATGTTCACCATGAAATGACCAGAGAATTTGTCGTGATTTCTCTCAGATTGTTCTTGATAATCGCAATGAAGGATGTTTTCTTGAAATTTATATTTGTATAATCAGATAATGCATGGGTTGTGCTGACATTACTTTCCAATAAGAGCTCATCGAGGGGCAAACTTGACAAAACCGTTATTTGTAGTTTTTAGTCGTTTTCAAAGGCGAGGCAACATTATAACTTCATGATTTGTCTAGTTAATGAATGAATTTTTGCGTGTATTGCATATATATCTTCTGCCGTTAATTAGTCTTCTTGCTAATTGGTAGTATTATACAACAATTATAACGGTGGATAATAATATATGTTTCGCTCTTGTTCCATGTTTTTGAGAAAAAAAAAATGGCATGCTATTATATTGTAACTTGTATTGGTTTACTTGAGGTGTGATTAGCTTTTTTAATCTTTGGAAATCTAGGATATATTGTGTTATTTACTTATACTTACAGTTAGATTTAGGTTTAGATATATGTCAACTATATAGATTTTGATAATTTTTTATACCCTTTTTCATTGTAGGATAAATTTTGCTGTTGATTTTGTTAAAGTAATTTAGGTTTAGTACTTTTTTGTTGTCATCATCCGATTCTACTTATAGTAACGAAAAGGAGAATGTTAAATTAAATGTCATTAGTTTTCTTTTATGTTTATCTTCCTATATTTTCTATTCTCATGATATTTTTTATGATAGCCTCATTTTAGTTAATTTAGATAAATAAACTACAAAATCTCCACACGACAGCAAACTAATTTGTAAAATATTGGTTTGCACAAAGTTAACCTTCAGCATGGTAAAATACAACTACTTTTTTGGTACAAAAATTTTACGTAAAAAAGGTTTTTTATTTTTAATTTTTTATTTTAAACTATTGTCACAAGCTTCAATGATAGCTTATATTACTTACAATTTGACTTATCAAAGAATCACAAATAAAATTTGAAATTGATGTTTGATTATGTAAGTATTAAAATTAGAACATGACACTTTTTTCCTTTTATATTGTGTTTGATTGCTAGGAGAGAAATAAGTGAATACAAAATAAGTACAAAAATATAGTAAGAATGGACTTGTTTGGTTAAAAAAAAAAAAGTTAGAAATAGAAGAGAAATAATATTTGTTTAGTTTAAATTAATGGAGAAAAAAGAAATTATAATTGGAATAAAATTACCATTTTATTCTTTCAAAAAAATTTCTTTGTGTAATTGACTAAATTAAATATTTATTTGAATAAATCAAACTTATTTATTTGGTTGTAATTTAACATCATGCATGTTATTTAAATACAATCAAGTCATTTAAAGTTTGTTTATTCGAATGAAAACTTTGACATTCAAAAACATGTAGTTAAATAAACTTTTTACATATTGGAATATATACAATTTGCATGTCAAAATCAAATAAGTTGTGTAACGACTTGCCATGGTCTCTACACTTAGTAGAATCGCACTACTACTAGTGAACTAAGAGAAATATTAAAATTGGACAACTCATACATACAGGTGTATAAATATAAATATAATAACTACGTTTTTATGTACAAAATATAGCACCATATATGTACAATCATTCCAAAATAACATCACCTTAGTGTCGGTCAAGCACACAAAACAGTTACCCAACACGGTAACTCTAACACGAGGACAAAACTCCTCGTCTCGCAGTGATCACCTCAACTCTAAGCTATCCCTGACCTGCTCCTATACAAATATGATCATCGCAGTCCATCCACACAGAAATAGAAGGGTAAACTAGAGTTCAAAAATCAATCATACAAGTATAGAACAAAATCTATACTACCCATTCATCCAATCTAGTCCCAAAGGAACTCCCATCTCAATCAATCATCAATTCATCAAACATGAAGTCACACCACACACTTCATCATAACATCAATCATGCAACCACATGCAACTCATGACAGATATCAATGCATATCAATCATCTAATGCGTCGTCACGTATACACCTAGGAGATCTCCCTAATAACAGAGCAGTGTAAGTGACATCCCAATCCTACCGAAACCACCCCAAGCGTTTTCACGCCTAATGCGCCCGCTCGGTCACAGTTAAACAAGCCAAAAATCTTCACTCGGGTTTACTCGAATGATGTCACTTACACAATTGGAAGTCCGAATCCACCGTCAGGTATAACACAACTGGGTACAGGCTTACCACGACCTTGGCATGCATTACCAAGTCACTTGTGGAGTTCGCCCACCAACTATCCGCAAGGATCCACGCACCTTCTCCAGTACTTGGTTAAGGGAATAATCCTCGACCTCATACTCCGCTCCAACACTAGCTAAGGACTTAGAGGAGACTCACCCAACCTAGTGGCCTACCTGAGCACCACTCTCACCCAAATCTAGTGGCCTATCCAAGCACCACTCTCAAGAGACTCTATGTGAGCTCTTCCAGTTTGAAAACATTTTCCCTCTCCTCAAGTCCTAGGCTAGACTCATGCCATAACATGCAAAAATGCACCTACATCATACATGGTCTACCCACCATCATGATCAATAATCATACTCATGCCATAAGGCATCACATGCAATAATGCATCACACATCATACATGCTCTACCCACCATCATGATCAATAATCATACACATGCCATAAGGCATCACATGCAATAATGCATCATACATCATACATGGTCTACCCACAATCATGATCAATATCATACTCATATGAACATATACTCATGCCATATCATATTTAAACATTCATATATATCATTACCAAGCATACATATGAATCACACCTCACCATACATCATATATCATACATACATGATCCAAAACTTCAACTTAACATGCATTAGCATCATTTTATTCATAAACATGTTCATGCCCGGCGTAGCCTGAGCGCGCCCAGCCTAATCCCAACCCGAGAGTCTTAAAACTCATCCACACCTAGCACGTTCAACTTGCGCTCGACATCCTTGAGACAGAGACTCCTAAGAGTCTCCACGCCCAGCGCACCCACCCTGCGCCCTGCGTGCTCCAAATAGAGACCATCAAGAGTCTCTCCACGCCCAGCGCGCTCACCCGCTCCCGACATCGTCCACACAAAGACCTTCAGAGGTCTTCGCGCCCGACGCATTAATCTTGCGCCCGACACCACACCAGTAAAGTCACAAATAGGTTCACTATCTGATATCGCCCCCGGCGTGGTTCTTCCCTCGCTTGACGTGATCCATCCAGAGACCCACCATTTTCAATCATGCCCGGCGCGACTAACATCGTGCCCTGCATGATCAAGAAATGAGTGTCTCTAATGAATGCACACCCGGCGCCAAGAATTGCGCCCGATGCAAATTCAAACAACATCCTCCAAAACTTCAAAAATCTCCTCTAACATCTGAAAATCAGCAAATCCAACCACATGCAAACATAAAAAATACAATGCATAGGCTCCATACAACACAGAACAAACTCAAAATCAACATGCTCCCATCCGATGCATCAAAATCACCAAAAATCCCATTTTTCCCAAAACCTCAAAAAATGAGCGAATTCTCCGATCCAGCCATGGATCCTCGACTTTCATGCATCAATTGAGTCACTAAACTCACATGCAACAAAACGAAAAATATTCTAGCTTCCCTTACCTGAAAATTGGCTCAGAATAGCCAAGAACGGAGAAGAAGTAGAATTTTCTTTCGAAGCTCAACCCGGAACTTCAATCCTCCAAAAGCAAGCTTCCTAGCCTGAATTTCAAGAGAAGACAAAAGAGATTATGGATCTAGAGGAGAAGAAGAATCATACAGAGAAATTCGGGAGAGAAAGAAGTTCACAGACCCAAAGTCCTTCTCTCTAAAACTTCTCTCTAAAACCTCTCTCTAAGTTCCCTTTTTCTCTTCTCCTCAACTGCATGCATGTGGCCTATTTATAGAAGTCTAGAGTGGCCAGAACGGCCCGTTTCGAATCCGGAACGGCCCGTTCTGCATTTATTTGTCATGTGTAAAATTAACATCCAGAACGACCTGTTCTCAAACTAGAACGGCCCATTCTGGGGTTGCATTTTAACCCATAACGACCATGTTTGGAACGACCCGTTCTCAACTAGGGTTCATAGGCCTATTTAGTAGTTTGGAATAGCCCGTTCTAATTTGAGAACGACCCGTTTTGGGCTACTAAATTACCTTTGTTTTAGTAGTTTGGAACGACCTGTTCCAATTTAGGAACGCTCTATTCCAGTCTACGAACTACGTTACAAATTGCACAACTCAATGGAATAAAAACTTTGTCTATTTGAATACACATCAAGTAAACTTTAGCTATTTGAATAAATTACATGACACATGCATTTTCTCTTTGTTATTTCTTCTCACTTTTGTGAAGAAATTTTACAAACATGACCACGTCTATAAATTTTTCACCTACAAAAAATGTATGTTTAACCAAACAAACCTTATTTCTTATTTCTTATTTTCACTCCCTTTGTAATATTTATGTCGTATTTCATACAAACCAAACTCAATGTTTATCAGTTTAGTTGAAAAATTATTATGTGAATGGTGACTCAATCTTCGATGGAATGCAAATTTAGACCTATTTAATATCTCGAAACAAAAGTCCTACAGTTAAATACCACAATTGAGACCAAATTTTATTACTTTAAGAACTATTTAAGAAGGTATGAGAAAAAGAACTATTTAAGACAGGGTGTTACTTCAAGGACCGATAATGAGTGACCCACATACAGAAACTTATGACCTTCTGTTAAATTTTCTCAAGTTTTAGGAAAATTCAAGAAAAATTATATTTAACTATATATGACATGGTTTCAAGCTGGGATTATTATTTTATTTCAATCTTTCTCTGGTGATAACCTATTGTATCAATAAATCAAGACATAATTGTCATTTTTATCTCGAAAATTTGATAGGTATTAGAAAGTTTGGCAAGTACTAGATAAATGGACATTTCTCCAACTTAAAATGTTTACAATTACAAAAAAACAAGATTATAAACTTAAAAAAAATATATAAACAAATTTGCTACAACAGAAGACGAGGAGGCTGTTACAAAACATAAAGTTTTTATTTTTTTCTATTTCCCTTCTTTTAAATGGAGCCCACAGTTTTTTAAAAAATTTATTGTATTCTTTGTTCCTTGCTCATTTTAACTCATTTAAAGGAAAAAATATTCTCACTCATAATTTTTTGTTATATATGTATTTATACTTTTGGGGCATTTTACTACGGTGTCGCTATGGGTTATAG